CGAGGAGGGTTGAATATGTGTATAAAATCAGAGAAATGTGATAACTGTGACGAATTTAATGCTTTCTAGAAGGGTATTATTCCATATGGTACCGTGTATCCGGTTTAGACAGTCACGTTTCCGGTAAGTTTCACGGTTTGTGGTTTGCGTCTGGACATTGAGCTATCGTGATACGTATAATACGTCTCCTAGTTTGACCATAATTCTGCATTTCCTGCTCGCAGGCAGAGTTGTTTAACAATATTTGAAGAAGAAAGTTATAAACTAACAACTGAAATTACAGTAGGTTTGCATCATGTGAATACAGAAATGTGGTAGATATCACATGCATGTATGTACATATAAATAAATATAAATATAGGGTGTTTCATTAGAAAAAATATATATTTTGAGCACCCACAGTATACCCCAACAGGTCTATGAAAATTCTTGCAGCACGTTTGAAATCACCGTAGAAAAAGAACATAAACCATGGAATTCAGTTTTTAAAATATAATTAGTGATGAAGATAAGATCAAAGTAGAAAATTCAGCCTGAACACTATTTTTGGAAAACGGCGCAAAACGTGAAGAAAAAATTTCCCAAACGTTAACGAAACATAACGATACATCAGGGGACAGATTCTTCTTATGTTTTGACCGTAATCTTGCTGTATTATAGATTCCAGTCTAATATAATATGAGGAAACCTGAACCACTAAGAAAGAAACGATAATTTACCTTTTAAAAAATTCAATATATCACAACAGTTCTTTCAATTCATGAATTCTAGATTTTGCAAATTATGGGTTTGACCTCAATCCTGTGCCAAATGGGCGGAGCTTAAAAAACATGGCGATGATGTGATATAATTTGCTATGGTCCCAATAGTATGCAGTGAAATTGTGAATGTTTTAAAATGCAATAAAATAATAAGTACCTATCAGCATAACATGTGATTATGGACTGATAAAAATTAACGAAAAAGAAATTTTCTTGGAGAGGAGCGTGTGATTAGTGGCTACCATCACAAAATTAGGATAAAATCCAATTGAAATAGAACACTTAACTAAGGTGAATTTTATTGCTTTCTTTTTACAAACTTCCAATTTAGAGAGTGATCCATGTGAAATAAACGACTTTAAGTGGAGATATTATATCAATGCAGTGTTTATGCTAAGCAGGTTTAAGTAAACGTTGCAACTGTTTTACTTAATTATTTTCACTTTGGAATTACACTAATTTCTTATCTATCAAAATGTTTAATGCTTCTTTATAAATTCAAATAATGAATACCAACTAACTTTTTATTTGCTTTTGCACAAAGTGAAAACTTGGCAGCTTTTATAATGACTGATTTATTAATTTATTCAACGTTTAATATAATTATAATAAAGAAATTCGCGATTAACAATACTCATTCACAGTATTCGATTCATATACATTTTTATCATATCGTAGAAGTTTTAAATTTCCTTGTCAAATTCAGTCCATATGAATAATCCTAATAGCTAGGTAGCTAACAAAAGTTGTCTTCCAAATTTAGTCTTGCTATTGGACTGGTTCAGATAAGTTAGGACGAAAGGAGTAGTAAAGATATAGTGCAGAGAATAGCGCAGGGTCGAGTCGTCTTCAATAAAAAGAAGTCACTTCCATGCTCGCGAACAGTTAATTTAAAAATTCGAAAAAGGTTTTATATGTGGAAAGAGAAGGTTAGAGGTGAAGAGGTACTAAAGAAAACAGGAGAGCAGAGGACTCTATGGAAGTCAATAAGAATTAGGTGTAATAGGTTAGTAGGACACCTTCTCAGGCATGAAGGTCTAGTCAGAGACATATTGGAGGTAGAAAAAGAGTAGAGGTAGATCTAGATTAGATTACTGTTCGCAAATAGTTAAGGATGTCGGTTGTTGTACTTTTAAGGAAATGCGAAGATTAGCTCAGGATAGGAAAAAGTGGAGATGCATGTCCAACCAGTCCTAGAATTTGCGAACTAGTTACTGCAGGATAATGTTGATTTTGTACTTTTTGTTTTACTCATGACTAAAGTAAAGTAGGAAACAAAAAGGTAATAAGATTTAAATTTTCTAAATGCTCCAATATCCTTGCATATAAATGTCTTTTTTTTCTACTTACTAAAATTAACGCTAAATTAAATATTTATATGAATACTAAACAAGTAGATATGACCCATAAGAACCTTACAATAGGTGGATTTATGATTAATAGTTTCCTTTTGTGCTTCACCTTACGTGTTACTATGTTGGTTGCACTTAATACGCCTGACGCTGTTACTCGTACATACAAAATATTCACGCGCTTGGGCACGAGCTAACGGACGTCCTGTGCTTGGAATTATTTCCGACATCTGTCAACTCATATATACGGTGTAAAACGTCTAGGTGAATATATCTGCAGAATGCCTATTAATTTCTTGTAGGAATTTTGAGGAAGTGATTGGATACCATATGCTACACACATTCGATACGAACAACAGTAGGTATGTTGTTGGCAAAAAGGAAGTAAAGAAGTAACTTACAGGAAGATAATAAATAATATGCAGAATATAAGGGGGCATCAGTAAGTTCAAATTGAAGGTGACGTCGAGAAAAATCTCATAAAATCTCTTCAAAGCGAGCGGGGGGGGGGTTATTGAAAATCTCACGTCAACTTTTCAATTGAAAGAATATATATTATTACATACCTACTTTATCATCATCATAAGGTCGTCAGTCCTAAGACTGGTTGGACACGTACATCCACTCTTTCCTATCCTGAGCTAATCTTTTCTCATTTCCCTAACACTAGAACATCCCAAATCCTTAATTATTTGTGAACAGTAATCTCATCTAGGTCTACATCTACTCTTCTTAAATTCTTCTGCCTGTAATATATCTCTGACTAAATGCCTGAGAAGGTGTCCTGCCAACCTATGTCGCCTATTTCTTATTGACTTTCATAGAGTCCTCTGTTCTCTTATTCTTTCTAATACCTCTTTATTACGGACAATTCTAACCTTATTTTCCAAAAAAAAGTTAGTGTTCGTAATGTGGTGTTACAGGCGAATGATGAGGATACCGTGAATAATGTTAGAAATGAAGAGGTATTAGAAAAAATAGGAGAACAGAGGACTCTTTGGAAGTCAATAAGAAATAGGCGAGATAGGTTAGTAGGACACCTTCTCAGCATGAAGGTCTATCCAGAGACACATTACAGGAAGAAACGGGAGTTAGCAGGGTTAGAGGTAGACCTAGATTAAATTACTTTTCGCAAATAGTTAAGGATGTGGGTTGTTCTAGTTTTAGGGAAGTGCGAAGATTAACTCAGGATAGGAAAGAGTGGAGGTACGTGTCCAACTAGTCTTAGGACTGAAGACCTTATGATGATGGTGAATTATATATCTGCTTATATTTCTTAAGCTATGAAAATCAACCTATTACAAATCGATTATGTATTTATTCGTCACCAGAGTGAATCCCGTATAACCACAACATTTGCTTGTAGATAGAAATCGTAATTAACTGAAGCTAGAGTTAAACTACACCTCACTAATCTTTTTTATTAATTAACAATTCGATAATTACGAAAAAAAATGGTTTAATTTACTTTAAATTTGAAAGTGCTCTAGATTCAACATGAGTATCATTTTAGAGTAAAACATTTGCTAACTAGAGTTTAAAAATCAGCAGATTTCCACAACAAAACAATATAACTATTAGTACCTGTAGATTTACATTGTACGTCATTATTTAATTTTAGACACGTTTACGCGTGAATTGTAATTAAATACCTAAAAATTTCGAAGTTATGCAGACTGAAATTTGATAAAAGCATTTGCAATTTGACACAGTTACATCTACTTAAAATATGTACCTATCAAACCAATATAACAAAAATGTAAACAAATGCAGTTTATTGATTTACATTTTCTTGAAAGAATTTATTTAAGAGAATGTGTCATTATGATAGTTCAGAAACTAGAATAGTTTCTGTAGCACACCCTTAACGACTTAAAAAGATAAAATATGTACTATTTGCAGCATCTCCAAAGAGCATTTTTCCCTTAAAGAGCGGATAATTAATCATTAAATAAATAGCCGTTTCATTAAAATTATTTTATTAGTTTAGGGAATTTATTGCCGTAATACGAGTGTTGGTACCTATACTTATTCTATTGTTTTAAATAAACAAGTTAGCAGTCGTGTCTGGTATAACCGGAAGTTACTGTACGCCAAAACTACGTTATATACGTGGAAAAGCAATTTAATAATCAGATTTCAGCCAATTTCAAAAGCAAAATTGAATTACAGCATTATCAACTATTCTTGTAGCTTGCGTCATTTACTAAGACAGAAACACAAATCACTGAAGTTGATTTTGCCACAGACGAAACTATAATGGTAGTACATTTCGGTTAGATTTTTGTATAGGTTCGTATCACTTTGTGTATTCTAATCTTTTGTTATAAAATTTACTCATATTGCTAACAATTTTTCAAAAAAGAAAAAACTGAAATATTAACGGTTTTAAATACAGGGTATGTCCAAACTGATTTCAAAATAGGTAGATAAATTCATTAATGAAAAAATAGTAAAAAACTGCTTCAGTTAAATTTCTAAAATGTTCACTGTTAAAATGACTTATGAATTATTTAAAAAATTAATCATAAACATGAAAAAGTTGTTGAAGATTTTTGGGAAAAATAGGTAGGAAAATATGAAAACGATAAATAAACACTGGAATATTAGTCTTTTTTTTTTAATAGGCTTATGCTTAGATATTGTTAATGGCATTTACTTTTCCTGAAATATATTGGCAATGTTTTCTTCATATTCTTTACGAATTAAAAGGCGTATAAAAGCAGAAAATTAAATTTAAAAAAAAAAGTTTAAATATCAACACCAACCATAGTAGCACGAATATCACGGAGTTATTCTGAACCGCTCAAGTTCGCGTCTATTTGGAAAGTTTATTTTAAGAATCGGCACATATTCGCACTAGTCTATAAATATAAGTTATACTCACCTAAATAAATGCATTCAGCAATTAAGATAGTAAAAACAGCAACTAATTTCCGGAAATCCGATTCTTTCCACATTTTTGGAAAACAGAAGAAAAAATCGAAACGAACAACAAATAACGAAGTCACAGCACGGAACTTTGTAACTAAACGTTGCGAATAACGAAGCGGTTTGCAGCACCTACCGTACTCTTTACCATGGCAAGACCCACACTAAACTGCCATCGGTCTATTTTTGTAATTTTAACCACATGCATGCTTGCTTAACCAAGCGACAAGCCCCTGAATAAAGTTTTTATAATGTCTTCCTGGTTTGAAAGGGAATAAAGCATATGTCAAGGGGTTGCAGGTACCGGTCTTACAATAAATACGTAACCGAAAATACTCGCTCTTGGGGGTAGTTTGGTCTTTCACAATAAGCAGGTATATACAGTTTGGTAAAATCGATTTTTTTCTAAAGGATTGATGGGTGAAAATCATAAATTTAAGAAGGAACAATTCATAGGGTTGTTAATAAATTAAAGAACTAACTTAAAAAAAACTTTTGGGTGTTTCATTCCTACCAGCCACTAATGCTGGTGGGCGAGTAGTCCCTCTGGACTACGCCGGAAGGTAGGACGGAAGGCCCTCTTTCGGGAATCGTTAGAATGGGTAGGTAGTGGTTCGGGTAAGATGGACGAAATGATGACAGAAGAGCATGAAAGATTATCTGCGGAATATTACTGTCCCAGCATTTGCCCAAGAGATCCAAGGAAACCACAGAATAACATGGCGACGGACCCGGAATAGAACCGACATCTTCCCGAATGCTAAGCAATGGTCTAAACCTCTTGGTCATGTCGCTCAGTAATTAAAGATCCCGTGTACTTATATGAAATAGAGTGTTAGAATATCTATCTATTCCGTAAGGAGCTCTGTTACCCCTTCCTCTCCCTTGATCAGATTTGATAAGATCTAGGGGAACCCCCCCCACGTGGACACTGATTTTTCGATTATCTGTATATAACAATGTATAATTTTTGTATTAAAATGTTGACGTTAGACTTTCAATAATCTCCCGATACTTTAAAATGTTTTGATGAGATTTAGAGAAGCGGAGGGGATGGTCTAGCCACTTTGACTTCTCGTGATTAATGGATGGCTTTTCTTCCAAGTAGTTCACCATTCTTCGATAACGAAACTTTTAGTGGTTATTTGACTGGGGTGGAGTCCTCCAATTTTTCTAAATCTAACAAGACCATGTTCGATTCGGTGTTTTCTTCTGGGATTTTTGGCCGTGGTCTGTGGAATTTTACTTTTCCAAACGTTTCGCCATTCTTTGCTGACGGCATCTTCAGTGGTGACTGAAAAGAAGCAATGCGAAGAACGGCGAAACGTTTGAAAAAGTAAAATTCCACGGACCACGCCCAAAAAGCCAAGAAGAAAACACCGAATCGATATACGCCGGCCGTGAAAGCCTAAGAACTACAGTAAGACCATGTTGGATTACTTGTCCCCAACTTTTTGTAAACTATATTGAGTTAAATTAATTTATGGTAGCAAATGAATAATGGCATTTCTTGTTTTTGTTTATTATATCCATTTATCCAATAATGCAAAATTACTGAGCAAGAATTTCTTCTGATACTTCTGATGGAGGTGCAGAACTGTTCAACAGTAGTGTTATTTGATAGCAAGGAATATTAAACATCTGGAATGAAGATTAGAACAGGTCAGAGAATTTAATGATGAAGGAAAGCAAGAAGTAAAATCAGCAAAAGAACAACATCAGTTACAAAAGTTTCTGGTTCCTTAAATGGAAACTTATTATAAATAGATAATTCAAAGATAATAGTTAAAATATACAGTAGGAACATGAATTTGTATATCTAGAAAAAGGGAAAAATAATAGTAATCAGAGAAAAATAAAAGTTACACTTACCGACATAAAAAAGATGATCCAGAAGCTAATACATTTTCACTGAAGGTTGACGATATTGGGCAGTTATTTACATTTGAGTTATAATCAGACTAAATTACCAGGGTTTCATTACTAATTGTATCCGAAAAAGTCCAAAAAAATATTTTTTGACGATTTAATACTACTAAAAATCGTGTGTAGTCAACATTTGACCAATTGAAATACTCAACATAAATTAGAAAAAAAGAGTATTATCGGCAGGGAACAGAACTCGGGTCGCAGATGAGCATTATATCACTGATGCCTGTTGTAATTAAAGTTCACAAAGCTGAAATTGGTTGATAGTGATATTCAGTTTTACTGAATATCATTAATAAACTAAGTGAAATTTAAGAATTTACTTTAAAGGTAGCGTTAGATTTATTGAAGACGAGTTTAAGTTTTAATTAACGTAACCTAACCTAACCCAACCTATGAAACAAGATACAAATGTACTTCAGGCGTACATTTCTTATTATAACCTCAAAAATATAGATAATGAAACAACATACGTTTATAAAAAGCTTTAAGTAATAATAAGTAACTATTTAGTATAGGGAAAATGCCTTTTAAGTAACTAACTTTGTTTTATTAAATTTTAGAAAAAGTTTATGAAGTTTACTCAGAGACGCTGTATCAGTATCCTGTAAGGATGTTTTTCTTATCAAAACCAGAAAAACTTAACAAGTAATTAGGTTTCATTTATGATGTTGAAATAAATATTTGAAAATTTCACAAAAATGTAGACGCTATCCATAGGTATTCCACGCGTGGATACAGATATATATATATTTTATCAATGACACAAACACCTGCTGAAAATAATGTAGTAATAGTTATTAAAGTTGGATTTTGTTTTACGCGATGATGTTTTTGTAGACTCTGTTCAATCTTGCGTATTTTAAACATATGATCGAAGTATTATTTTCGAACCATTATCTATAAAATCGTTGTGTTGGATCTAAAATTGAGAACTGCTCACAAGTTTTCCAGAATTTTGCAATAAACGCGCTGGTGAATCATTTTACGTAAAAAATCCAACATACAGAGTTTTTTTAAGAAAAATAAGGAACAACTGTAATAATTATTCTCATTTATTATTTATAAGGTACAAAATATTTTAGGTCATTAAACAGGAAGACAATATTTCAATTTATTCAATTCTTCGTAAATTATCTTCAAATTTTCAAACTTTATCTCCTCCTGGCACATTTCGCTTCGAACGTAATATCGTAAGTTCTGTAAAAAATAATAATAAAACTTAAGTTTGACTAGTTCTTGGGTAGTGGATAGTCGTATACATCTATGAGCTTACATTGATTCAAGTTTACAAAAAAAAACAATATTTTAAGATCAGATGTATAAAATTGAAATGGTTCCATAAATCGACATTTAAAAAAAAGATAAATAAACAAACCAAACTCTTCCGATTAAATGAATTCACTGATGAATCAGATATACTTTTATTTAACATCTTTATGCATGACTAATCAAACAAAAACGACCAATTGACGGAACATGAGGGCTGTTTTACGCTTTGTGACTGTTTTTGTGTACAATTAATTAGTTTTTGAGTAGAGAAAAACAAAGAAACATATGGCATTTGTTTTTTAAAAGTTTAAAAAACACATGCAATTCTTATTTTGTCCAATAAACAACGGAATCACGACTGGAGTTCACAAATGACTTTTTATACATGTGGTAAGTACTTGTAAAGTCGTATTTAAAAAAAAACAGATGTGTTTTATTTTTATTAATGCGATTCATTAATCTCAACTATTTGGAAGTATTAGACCATCTGTAAACACATGTGGCGCTTGACAATGCCGTAACTAGAGGTATTTTGAAATCTCATGGGCCCCGAAATGCGTCAGGGGCGGTTCTTATCGCATTCATGGTGTACACTTCAAAAACATTGACTCGGCTTTTAACCATACAAACGATCACGTTTCGACGGCTAATATTTTTAGTGAGAAGTAGAAATCAACGAACAGGATGTGTTTTGTATCTGCGCAAGCGCAACTTAAGGTCTGATTTTCTAAATTACCTCTATCGAGTTCGAAATAGCAAAATCAATAAATTACTGACCAAAAAATTAGCAAACGTTTTTTATTGATTTGATTACCGTATGCGAAAGTGTGAATCTTCGTATACTTCATTTACTTTCTCTTGCGATGTGTCCCTTCCAATGTCTTGGATGCGCGCTAGCAAAATCGTAGGTAGGGAGAAAAAAGCTCATTATACTCTCAACTCTTGCTCATTAAGCATATTTTTTCATACAGTACCTGCCAAAAGTTGTGTTCAATCATGAATGGCAGTGCGAGCCGAAAATAAGCGTTAAAGCCTTTAATATGTCTTCAAATATAAATAAACATCTCGTTGATATTTTTAGTAGTAAATGGTACCAATAACAGCACATTTGAGCAATGCAATTGTAGTGGATAAAATGGTCAATTTTTCGGTGCAGTACTGTACGGATTATACGCTCCTCACCGGTTAAGAGTTTGACCGAGAGTTGTCTTCTTCCTTTTCTGGTCTAGTGATGTTCTTTTCTAGTTTGCGCCGGTCAAACTGAAGGTCACATCGCTACAGAAAGTAAACGAAGTATACCTACTGATTTTGCCGCTCTCATCAATAATAGTACGTAAGAACAGTGTGCGCACGCCGACTAGCTATTGGCAGTAGTGCTAAGACAAATACGTACGAATACAAATTTTACGAAACCGATATTATTATAAGTTTCGTATAGTAATCTTATCATTCTGATAAGATATAAACTTCAAACTATGAAAGACTGTCATAACTGCAGCACTGGATCATTGCAACTCATGTTATACTCGGCAGATGACAATACGTATGCTATTTACCTAATTCCATTAGTCTTTAAATTGCTATGATCTCTATCATTAAATTTAGCAAGAAATAATTCTTCTATATGCTTTCCTTTTTGCCTTTTTTCACTCGTTTTGATTGGAAAAAAGACATTGATGCCCAAATAGTTTGTTTAGCGTGAAAGATCAGAGCCAAAATAGAATTGCAAATAATTTTATTGACGTAAAATCAACATCAATCATTTTATATTAAAATATCTACAACACCATTTTGTTTCCGATCTTTTACACATTTTAATCAGAGAAAGAAACGGAATCTATATTTTCTTTAGCTTTGGGTTCATCATATTAGAGAAGTTTATCGAAACATTTTCAAATGGATTATACGCATTTATTAGCACACCACAATATCTTGTAGTTCTTAGTTTTCCACAGTTGGCGTACATAAATTCGATATTGTTTTGTCGTAATTCATAGAATTTCGTAGTTCCTTGCCGAAGGTACGATAAGTAGTGATTTGGCAGATGCTAATTCAATTTGGAACTTCAAAATTCCATGGACCATGACATTGAACTGGGAAAACAAAATCGATCTAATATTTTAGAGTTTAGAATTTTTTGGGCTCTCTTCAGTTAAAGAATTAGAAGACATTTGTCCTCTTTTTGAGCTTCATACCTTCAATGGCCAATGTGAGCAACTTTCATTCATCATTTTATACAGTTTGATCGACGATACTAGCAAAACTTTTAACGGCAAAAATGCTTTTTACATTTTACAAATAGAAAATACGTTTGGAACAGTATTTTAAATAAAATACAAAATGCACTTCTCAAAAAAGTATTTAAATGCAAGAGAAAAAGCACATTAAGACGCTGCTGTTATCAGCAAATAGCCATAGATAATGTACTTCTTCCTCTTCCTTACACAGAACAACATTGGTTTGGACGACGATATACCAAAACTACCTATAATGTGCTGATGAGAACTAGTAAGTTCGGAATCGCGATCAACACCTGATAGTTTAGAAAAATTGGTGATCAAGAAATAATGACAATTGTATTTACCTTCAATGTTATGAGCCACACTTTCTCTACCTCCAAATTCTGGCACTGAAGATTATCTATGATGTACTCCTTGATTAAGGATAATTCTTCGCTATTTGATGAAGTGATTTTTAAATTGTTCTCTTTGTTATCCAGTTCAATTTCAACGGAATTGGTTCCGGTTGATAACTTAACCTTTATCGTATCTTTCTGATCAGCAGTAAAGGATGAAAATATTTTACTGTTTAATTTGTAATAGCTGTTTGCAGTAATGACGTTGAAAAAATGTTTTACTGAACATTTACACCTAAATTCATACTCTAATTTTGGCATAGTAAACAGATGGCTGCTATAATTATTCCCACTAAGTAATGAATACATTCTATTTTTAAACGTTAATGATTCCTCTTGAGTATGAGGTCGAAAATGATAAGAAATGTCCACTAGAGTTGACGAAACATTAATGGGAGTCCAGGTAGATCCTAATATCACAAACAATGTCACATCGACTTTTGTTGGTTCTAAAGATTTCTCAAATGGTAAGATAATTTTAAAGGGTAGCTTATGTTCAGTTGAAATGTTTACGTTTTTCATCGCACAAGCTTGTGAATTTTTAACACGAACGCTAATGAACCATTTCTGATTTAAAATTAGATCAACAAAATTCTTAGAAATGAACACTGTTACCAAGTAATAATTTTTGTTAAGATATGTTGCTAACTCGTTTAATTCACTTAGACAAATTTCACTGTCGTACAATTCATAAATTTGAAACACTGAGTCAAACACCTTCACATCTGTCCTAAAGATATTCTTGACACAAACATTTTTTCTTTTTGCTATGCTGACGGCAATAATTTTATTGTTTTCTGCGGAAATTTCATCTTCCAGTCTTTTCTTTTTTTCAAACTCACTGTCAATTTGGGACAATATGGCTTCATATTTTTTCTTTTGCGTTTCCGTTATGTATTCCATTGAAAAAATATTTAAAAAAGTTACACGTTTTGTGAACCTAAAAAAATTAAGGAGCTAATTATTGATGGTTAAAGTATTAAAATTTATAAATATGTCGTATGAGGATATCGTGGATAGAGGAAAGTTAGAAATGAAGAGGTATTAGAAATAATACGAGAAAAGAGGATTCCATGAAAGTCAATAAGAAATAGGCGAGATAGGCTAGTAGGGCACCTTCTCAAGCAAGAAGGTCTAGTCATAGTCTTATTAGAGGCAGAAACTCTAGTTTTAGAGTAATGCGAAGATTAACTCAGAATAGGAAAGAGTGGAGTTGCGTGTCCAATCAGTCTTAGGACGGACGACCTTAGGATGATGATACACATCATCGAAAAATAGAGACTGCTAAAAACTAATTAGGCAATCCGATCTCTAGTAAAGTATTGTTTGTCATTTTGGAAGCAATCAATCAATGATGTAAAAATTGCTTATGTCTGATATAGAAATAAGAAAATGAAACAATGGGGATACAAATTAACAGTTTCTTTCTGCTCTTCTAAACGTTTTGACCCTTTATTGTGCTTCTTTCCTACCAGTTGAAGTTAGTGAAGGAGCTCTCAGCGATCCCCACTTTGGTCCAGAGAAGTGAGCAGACGGAAGTCTCCTTTAGGAATCGTGAGAATGAATAATCGGTAGAAGTTTCGGAGAGAATGATCAAATGGACGAGATGAAGACAGTAAAGGAGTGAGTGACTATCTATGGAATATTACTGCCTACATAAAAAAATTTGGACTAAGGAAAGTAGTCTCGGAATGAACCAGTGTTCTAATCGTGTGTTTGTTCCTTCTGATTAAAACTGTTCAGATGCATAGCTTCTCCATATGATCTATCACATTAATGAGATGTTGTCAGAACTTTCGTGTTGTCGGGTATGATTCACTATGCTCGTTGGTCATGTTGGTCACGCTGATCACGTTATGTTTTTTACCGGTAATATAGAATATTCTACAAGCACATCAAATCTATCAGAATCCACATAATGTTAGAGTCGTGTACGTCTGTAATAGGACGAAAGGTTTTGACTTTTATTACCGGTTGAATTGTTAGATGGGCATTAAGTTATTTTCTTGTATGAGTTTGCCAATAGGGTCAGTTACTAATTTTACATATCAGAAGAATATTATTTCCTCAGGTATTCGTTCTTATATTTGCGTTTCTTAGTATATCTGTACGATACAGGACTCTCTTGATTTCTTTGTTCAAGTCATTCCTATCTCTCAGTGATTTACATTCAGGAGGATTCCGAGTCATCTGCTTTGGTCTAAATTCTTCTGATTCCTTTGGATAACCTAAGTAAATTATGAGATAGTACCTAATATTCTATAGATTGTCCCTCACTCTTCTCTTGTGTTCATGTTGTTCGAGTTTTGCCTTTCTACTCATAACCACCACCGGTCGCCAGTTTGTATGATTCCTAGAGACTTTTTTCACCTGCCAACCAGCCTCAGCTAGCTGATAGGAATGAAGCATAATAAGTAGGGAGAGCCTTTATGTTTACACCGTCAACACTCTAGGAATAAGGTTTATCAATGAAGATGTTTTAGGGAAATACGAAGGTTAGCTCAGAATAGGAAGAGTGGAGGTGCGTGTTCAACCAGTCGTAGGACTGACGACCTTATGATGATGATGATAATGTTTATGGAAGAGAACTTTTTAGTCATCCTTTTCTAGATTGCTCTGTTTTTACCGATCATTCGATAATTCAATACCTATGTTCGTAGTCTCATTAGTGATTATTTAATTATTAGTGCTATGGATTGTCTTAGCTTCTTTTATGTATTTTTGATTTTAAGAGGTACCACTCTTGATTACAATCCCTGCTAATCCGAAAATTTATTGTAGATGCCCCAGGATTCAAGATTAATTTACGTTGTGGACATTCAAATTAGGCAACCATACGTACAGCACCATGAAGTCATCACAGTTACACAGTTGTATTATTTGCGCGCCAAATACCCTAACTTTCAGTAAGCACAAGAGTATTTGTAGGTTGAAATAACAACAAACAATTTCATGATACGGATAGTAACAATATATAGTAAATGAAACTGCTACAAAACTTACCTGATGTAATAGCAGCAACGGTTTTATTGTTCGTTTCTTCGAACCGCTCGAACTGCACGTGTATCAACGAAAGAAGATTATCGGCTTCTGTTTTTGGAAGCGTTCCATCGTTCCTCATCTTTTGTATTTCCGCGAGGATGCGCTGCAGGACCTGTTCCAACTTTTCATTTAGCAACTGTTCTCTGTTATGTTTCCAACTTATTTCATGATGTCTTATAGAACTTTCACATCTGCGTATAAAAGAATGTAACATATACTTCATAGCTTTTATTTGATCAGTATGCAACAAAAACTTTTGTTTCACAAAAGGAATGTTCGTTGGAACGTCGTGGATGATAATATTTTGATAAAGATGAGCTTCTCCAACAGCTACACTCACACACCCAATAGTTGGTGCTTAAAAGCTTGACTTTCACAAAAGATAAATTCATTAATTATATTAAAGGGTACATCATCGACATGAGAATCGTATCTTGCATCAGGGTGTTGCCCAAATCAGATTATTAAATTTTCTGATGACTTTTGACGGATTTGGAAAGAGTAATTTCTAATTTTCAATATTTCATTTCTAATATTGTGTACAATGTGGCTAAAAGGAAACAATGACAGAGTGACAAGACTTTCCATTTATGTTCATATGGTACCGTGATATTCTTAGTAAATTCATTATCGGTATTACGGTAGTCTGTCCTAAGACTGGTTGGAAACGGATCTCCACTCATATTTATCGTGAGCTAATATTCGCTTTTCCCTTAAACAAGAACATCCCACATCCCACATCCCTAATTATTTGTGATTATCTAGGTCTATTTCTACCCCTTTTAACTCCTGTTTCTGTCTCCAATATGTCTCTAACCAACCCCTCATATCTGAAAAGGTATCGTACCAATCTATCTCATCTATTTCTTATAGACTTAATAGCGCCGTGTTCTCCTACTCTTTCTAATACCTCCTCATTTCTAACCTTTTCTATGCACAGTCTTCTGATCATTCGTCTGTAACTCCAAATATAGAAAGCTTCTAACATTCTCCTTTTCACTTCACCCACCGTCCACGTTTCGCTGTCTTACAGAGCCGTGTTCCAGATATTATTATTAACCGTTAGTGAGTACAGAAGTGATTTCTTTTTGCTTCTTGTTTCACTCTACCCTGCGCTATCCTTTACTGAGTAATCAGACTCCCTAGATCTAAAATCAGACACTTCTTCTAATTCTCTTCTAGTTTTATATTCACTCTTTCCCAATTATTTCTATCCTTGCATGCCAGTATTTTTTGATTTACTTTTGTTTATTTTTATGAAATACTGTTTTATAAATACCACTTTTATTTAAGGCTATCTCTAACTCTTCAGTAAATTAAAAACCTATAAATAATACAGGACACGTCCTACAACGAATCCCCCTATTTTTATAGCATTGGTACTTTGATTCTAATTTTTTCCTTCTGCAAAGTTCTATGTCTACTACGTGTCTAAAAGAAATAATTTTCAATTTCTTGCGATCATGAGAACCGAACTGATGTTCTGATTCGGCTGTAAAAGCCGCTGGCGGTTGGAGTTGCTTCCTAACGTTTCACTAGCACGAGTAGCAAACTTCTTTAGAGGTTCTTCCATCTCCGATGCTGGATCAGTTCACCTAATAGTCGCGAAAATCTGTACTAATCATGAGAAATATTTCGCATGTACTTGATATTGTCGAATTCGATTTTATCGAAGGCTTTTATAAATGGAGAATAGTTGTGACGTTAATTTCCAATGTATGGTAGGTTCGAGTTTGTGGTGAAAAGTCAGATAACTATAAATGTTGGGGGGGGGGGGCAATAATACTCCACAGAACTATTTTCACGTTTCCTGCAAGTATGTTAAAGAATGAGTGAAGTAAACCTTCCACCATACCCTTCGGTTTTACCTAACGTATTGGTAGAAGGAACTACCCGCCTACCAGCATTAGTAGATTAGTAGCTGGTGGGAATGAAACCCCAAAAATCGAGTTTATAAACCTGCTACATAGTTTTGTACACAACGTAGGGTTCTAACCACTAGACGATCACGGCTTGACCGAGCGGCATGGTCTAGAGGTCTAGACCATTGCTTAGCATTCGGGAGGACGCCGGTTCGATTCCGGGTCCGTCTGTCTTGGTCCAAGTTTTTCTGTGGTTTCCTTGGATCGCTTAGGCAAATGGCAATATTCCACAATAATCTTTCATTCTCTTCTGTCTTAATTTCGTCCGTCTCAACTCTCTCACCCGAACCACCACCCACCCATTCCCACGATTCCTGAAAGCAGGCTGAAGAGAGCCTTCCGCCCTACCTTCTGGCGTAGTCCGGAGGGACTACCCGCCCACCAGCATTACTGGCTGGTGGGAATGAAACACCCAAAAAGTTTGTACAAAATAGATCCGAGTTTCCGAGTGTTTGAGACGAAAACGATACTTGATTTTTGTTTATCCATTTGCAGGGCCGTAAGCACACCCAGCAGGTATTTTGGTGTCCCTTATGATTCTTTCTTGAGATGATACTCTCGATAAACTAAATTACTATTATTTTTCGGAAGAATTATACAAAATGGTGGAGATTGGAGAAAGTAGGTACATCAAGTACCTCTGACTCGTTATGAATAAAAAATTAACACTAAAATCGTTGGGATGTCCAGCCAGCATTGATGGGGTCTCTTTTTATTTGAGGGCGTTCCCCTTTCTTCCGGCACTAACTAAAAGATTTTGAGAACGTGGGAGCTCCCGTTAGGTTGCGCTGATCGAATTGTACATTGGCTAGAGAATAAATTCCATATCGTGACTAATTTTGTTCCTTTGGGTTAAAACTTTGTATACTATAAACAACGGACGATCATTAGAGGTGATGGTTCAAAGTATTGCTTACATCTAATAAAATTCTCCCAATGTTATTAAATACGGGGAAACAATACAAACGAATTATATTGCTATGAACAGACGTTGATTATTATTAGTTATATTGGACATTCCATCTTTCCGGCTTGCCCATTCAGCTTGAGCTAAATTGCAAAAGTTTTAATTTAGTTATAGAGCATTAATTAACCTTATTCTGTTTGTTTCCCTAGAGCTACCCTTCAATATGAGGCTACGAATTCTAAAACTAAACCAATAAAATTATCGAGTAACCAGTGGCGCTTTCATTTAGAACTGCATCACCTCGTGTCTTCACATAATATCATACAATATTTAATATAATAATTCCCTTTTTTCTTTAATTCTTTCATTATACTTATACAATAGATGTATAATTTTTAAGGTTAATGAAGGGGTATTAGAATAAGAGTGGGAGAACAGAGGGAGTTGTGGAAATCAAGCATGAAGGGCTAGTTAGAAACATATTAAAAGCAGAAACAAGAGTTAAGACGAGTTGAGGTAGACCTATAGTGGATTAATCACAAATAGTTAAGAATGTGGAATGTTTTAGTTTTAGAAAAATTCGAAGATTAACTTAGGATAGAAAAGAGTGGAGGTGCGTATCCAACCAGTCTTAGAACCGACGACTTCATGGTGATGATGATGAAGGTTAATGTCAGTTTGTGAGTAGCCGTCCCTCAGTTTATGAAAAATATATTTGTATGGAATTGTGGGTTTAACAGCTTTAGTGGCGTGAAGTTGCTACGTAGGAAATTGTAGGTGAGACTTTGAGGGAGACAGCGATGTCGCTTCTCTAATGTTGACTCTCTCAGATTTTACATCACAGTGCCTTCTTCAGGTCACGTGGAAGATTACTCTTCCACTTAAAGATACAATAAATTTTTTTTGCGAACTAAAACAGTTGCGTCATCTATTCAATATAAGATGTTGTTATTCTCTACTTCATTATTTAGTAGATAGACATTAAAACAACATCACTGTTTCAGATAAAAATGATTACTTATTTTATACTTTTGGATATTTTGCATTAGTAACAAAAAGGTATCCATCCTAGTATTCATTGCATAATTTTAAAGTTTCCAAAACTATACATGCAGAGAGTAGAATTTCTTTAGTCTTTCTGAGAGTTCTATTTATGTTTGTCTGAATTGCTCTTAATTTCTTGAAAAAAAGGTTCTAACGGATATTTTTGTATATTCTCCTATGAGCCTTTCGCCACCAGTATCAGTCAGCCCATTTGATAATTTTTTAAATGAAAATAAATTATTAATTGGGACCCTTAAACTGAGTAGTGTTTAATGACAATGTCTGAAGTAATCACCTTTGAAACTCTAATTTAGTTATTTTTTTCTCCAGGCTTGCAATTTGCTGCTTATATTCCAACACTAGATTTTGGCATTTCTCCATATTCCTTTTCAGCGTGTCGATAAGGTTGTCCTACAATTAGAGACGGGACAGGAAATTAATACTTCTCAAGGTTAGTAGGCGAGACTTTATTCTACTAAATAATAATAGAACATCTGTTTCAAGATACAGAATTTGTGGATTTATATCATAAAACAAGAAAAATTGATTTTGAAAATACGTTTGGTTTTGGGTCTCTCTAAATCATATCAAATTATTTTACGATAAGAACTCTTGTAAAGTACCGTAGGTAGTCTCGATAAGTTCACTTCACCAAATAGAAGAGTGAGGTTATGTAATATTCAAATAAAGGTAGGGTGTCGCCATCAGGTGGGTATTTACTGTTACTGAAGTATTTCAAGCGTTGGACAAGGCTTTACTAAGATATATTAGAGACTTTGAAATACGCTAGTGAATTCTTGTGTAACGCTTGAAACACTTCAGTAGGAGTAAATACTCATCAGATAACGATATATTGGCTTAATTTGGGTATTATTGAGAGATGTTGTTTCAAATTGTCTGTTTGGTATAATAATTTGGCTTTAGCAAACGCGACCAAAACGACCGCAAACGTATAGGTCTCTATTTAAAATTTAAGTGTAGGTACTGTTTTTAAATAAACAATATTGTTTGGCTGTTTACTTGTTGTTGGATGGAAATGGAATTCAAGGTAATTGGGCATGTCTTGTTAGTCACAATTAGTGCTAATTCACTGATAATGCAATATTAATTTGAAATCATTTTTTCGATTTTTTATTTACCCACTACAAACTACCTCAAATTAATGAGGGAAAAATTGTTGCTGTTGTCACACCCCCTTCGCTGTTTGTTTCG